TACATTTCTTTTTGTCAAACAAAGTTTAATACATTTATAAACATAAATATTTAAAGGGCAATTGCAAAAAATGCATTTTTAATGTGCACATTTGCAAGAATACCACTTGGGGGTGTCCATTTGCAAAAATACTACTAATTATAGAATTATAAAACCTATATCTTAAAATTCTAAACCTAAAAAATGTTTTGACCCCTAAACCCCCCTAAACCTTCATAACTAAACCCTAATAGAACATAGTTAACCCAAACATAAATATAAAGAATTTTTTTTTGTTGAAAAAGTGACGTTTTTATAAAGATTTCAAAAGTGTGGCATTTTGTAAAGTGTCATTTGAAAAGTGCATTTGTTGAAATTTCTCAATATTTAATAACATTTTTATAAATTTCATTAATTAATTTTTTTCCAAAAATTCCACTGCAATCCGCAACATTCCGCTGTTACCATTTGAATTCAAAATTATTCTGCAAAATTCCGCAAAAGTTACCAAAAATACTGTCAGATTCCATAATTCTGCAAAATTAATCTGTTACCATTAGCACCCTTAAGTGTTAGAAAGATGGGGGACAACTTTGTGGTGAATAAGATCAACGGCTCTTATTCGGACACGTGAGCAAAGCTTAGAAAAACGTCTCGCATTGTGATGTAAATCATTGTGACGAGGTGTTGTTTATGGTGTTTAACGTTGACTCTTTGACCGACTCACAACATAAAAGAATGCTTAGTTTGAGGTCATTTATTTTACTGTGTGCCACTCCGGTGAGTCTCTCTCTACATAGAAATCTTCGTAGTTTGAGGTCATTTATTTTAGAAGTTTAATTTTTGGATTTTGAAGATATGCACAAACTTTTTGTTTGTATAAGTCAAATTGCGAGGATATGCTCCTTTCGTCATTTTCATGAGATGTTTTCTTATTAAACAAAAGAAAAATGCATAAGAATTAAAAGAAATTAGTAGCTTCAAGACTTTAGACATCCCCAAACCCATTTATTATACACTTTGCTTTTGGCGTTAGTAATTAAAAAGTTACCAATTTTTGTTAATAGGGTTAATTTGCTCAATAATAATAATTAGTCAAGTAACCAAACCTAACTTATGTGGCATAATTACATCCATTAGATTTAGGGTAATTGGCTAGAATTTGAGCCAATTATTATAATTTTTCTTTTTTTAGCTATTGAGCCAATTAACCATTTATTATACACTTTGCTTTTGGCGTTCGTAATTAAAAAAGTTACCACTTTTTTTTTTGTTAATAATTTATTGTTAACACTTAACTATTTGGATCCAAGTACTTAATTATTCATCTACTCTCTTTTTTTTCTACTGTATATGCTTATCAAACCCCAAGGAAATAAAGTGTTCACTTTTATGATCACGTTCAGTGTAATTGATGAATCAGTCATAGCTATTGTGCTTATGTCATGGTTTTAAATTAATGACAACAAGTTTTCACTTAACATATATGCTTGACAGTTCTGATCATATTCTATTCCACGCATTTCTTTTCTGTTCTTTTACTGATTTTATCAGTCTGCACGCACCA